GATGGATGGATGGATGGATGGATGGATGGATGGATGGATGGATGGATAGATAGATAGATAGATAGATAGATAGATAGATAGATAGATAGATAGATAGATAGATAGATAGATAGATAGATAGATAGATAGATAGATAGATAGATAGATAGATAGATATGCAGGCTGGCAGGCAGGCAGGCAGGCAGGCAGTGTTGACAGATAGATAGATAGATAGATAGATAGATAGATAGATAGATAGATAGATAGATAGATAAATGGATGTATTAATAGATATAGATAGATAGATAGATAGATAGATAGATAGATAGATAGATAGATAGATAGATAGATAGATAGATAGATAGATGTTGGCTGATGGGTAATAGGCAACAGGTAACTGATAATTGATATAGATAAATGAATGGATGAGAGGGAGGGATGATAGATGGAAAGGGGGATGAAGGAACAGGCAGACTAATAGATTAGATAAATAAAATTGAGATTTGATGGTTCTTTTGTGGAGTTGCCTGTTTTGTTGGGATGGGAAATTGGCAAAAGCTTTGAAGCTTCTTCAAGGCCATCTTATTTTTTATCTATCACCCCTTCCTCCCCGGAGAGAAAGAGGAAAGTGAAACCTGGGGGGGGGGTGTCCCTCCTCCCCTAGGACCCATGTTTCATCTTCAAAAACGTTGGGTGCTTTGCCGTTAGGCTGAGCAATCCCAGAAGAAGGACAGCTGCCCTCCTGGGGAATTCTGGGAGTTGAAGTCCACCTGCCTTAAAGTGACCGAGTTTGGGTGGCTGGGGAATTCTGGGAGTTGAAGTCCACAAGGCTAAATGCCCCTTTCCCCATGCTGACGTCCCTGCGTGTCATGCCCCTGTCGGAATCTGATTCGGAGGGGGAGGCTGAGCAGCTGACAGGGAGCGGGAGTGTGGCTCCGTTGGCTGTGGAAGAAACTGGGGAAGCGCAAAGTCCGGCTGGGCAGAGCAGGGGAGAGGTAGAACAAGGGAGAGGGAGTTCAGAGGAAGACCCAGGCCCACCGCTTCTTTATCCTAGGGCACGCAGGGAGGAACGGAGAAGGGAGCAACCTGAGTTGTGTGGCTTACGGGGGAGGAAAGGGCCCTGATTCCCTTCATTAGCTGCAGCTGGGAACACAGTGTTTTAAAAGGGAAGCTACGCACAGCAAAGTTGTTGGGAGCAAATCATGAATTTATCTTGTATCGTTGTGGCTTATCTGGGTTCCTGGTGTCTTCCCAACTGTGTGAGTTTTGTTGGCCTTTGAAGTCTGCAATTCCTTCTCCTGCCCTGTCCAGTTAATTGCCGCAGCTTGTGGTTTGTGTGGATCTTTAGTTACAGTTTGTATTTGTTTTCGGACTGAATTTCCTCCACTTAAAGGCTGTTCCTGGGAGAGTTTTTCTCCAGCCGAAGGTAACTGGACATTGGGGGCAAAAGTTGGAAATAATTAGGGGGACTTTTCTGACTTATTTGACTGTGTTGCCTTTGTGCCACGCCCCTTTGGGTCATCGCACTGTCCTCCCCTGGAAGAAGCCCCCTCTCACCAACTCTTCCTCCCCCACCAGGCCAAACTCCGCCTGGAGATGGAGATGGAGAGACTGCGACAGACGCACTCCAAGGAAGTGGAGAGCCGCGATGAAGAAGTGGAGGAGATCCGCCAGTCGTGCCAGAAGAAGGTGAGCCCAGTGGCCAGATGGGTAGTTGGGTAGTTTCTGGAAGCGCGTTGTCCAGAGTCAGATGCTTCCTGGTTTGTCCGGCTTCGCTTGTGAACATCCAGAGGTGGGCTGCACTTACGTTCCCAGCTGGTTTGCTGGTTAGGAGTGTGCGCAGTCCGCACGATCTAAATTCAGACGCTCGGTGACATTCTTGTATGTATGACGGTGGCAGGTTAAAAACAGAACATGTGAAAACACAGGGTAGCTGTTGTGGTCCATTGACAGATGGTGGAGCTGGCAGCAGAGTTAGGCAGTGGGGAGGAACATGGGCCACTTCTGAAATCTGGGGAGGGCTCGGATGAGGGATCTGCGTCTGACACAGAAATGGGGCCAGAGCCATTTGGGAGTGGGCTGTTTGTCTCTGGAGCCTTCAGAGTCTGACAGCAGCGAGGCAGAGGAGCAGCGGGAGCCTGTTCCCAGTGCGCGCATGCACAGAGCTGCCAGAAGGCAAGAACAGTTAAGACAAAAGGGGCGATTGGGGAGTAAGGCTTGGAGGTGATTGGCCCCTCCCATAAGACATAAACGAGGAGCAAAGGGACAGGAGCCCTTTGCAGGAAGCAACTTTGTTTGTTCTGGTCAGTTTGGAACCTGAAGCTCTGTGTTGAATTTGTGCTCCGTTTGGCCTCGTATAACTAATTGGCAATTTAGGCGTTGGCAGCATTTCAAGGGAGATAAAGGTGGGTGCTTATCAGCCTTATCTCGAAGGACTTTGGCAGATTTCCATGGGACTATTTACAAACTGAGACTCATTACAGGCTGTGAATGCCTGTAATTCACAGCTGTTGAAATAAAGAAAAAAGATTTTTGGGACTAAGTGTGTGACTGTCTCAGGAAGCCTTGATCAGAACAGTAGGCCTCAACTTACAACAATTCATTTAGTGACTGTTCAAAGAAAATACCGACCAATAACCATTTCTCACACTATGTGACCCATGGTCACACGATCAAAATTCAGGTGCTCGACCGACTGACTCAAAGTTATGACGGTCGCAGTATTCCCCCCAGGGCTACATGATCCTCTTTTGCGACCTTCTAACCAGCAAAGTCAACAGGGGAAGCTGGGTTCACTTAACGACCGGGATACCGAGAGACCCACTGCAACTGATTCGACTTTAACAACTGTGGCAAGAAAGGGGTCGTAAAATGGGGCTTCAAGATTCGCCGCCCAAATGTCTCGCTCAACGCTATAAACTCTGGGCTTCAACGCAAAGGGTGGGTTGGCTTTCATGACGGTGTGACTCGCTGAACGACGGCGACGATTTGCTGAACGGCCATGTCAAATAAGGCCGTAAAATTAGGGCAACGGGGAATTGTCTCCACTGTGGCTGTGAGGTGAGGACAGGCTTGTACGTCTGGAGGAAATATTTGGGGAATTAATGGCTCGAATTAATTGCTCAAGAACAGGTAATGAAATGTCACAATCGGGTAGGAGTCACTTCCTGGGCGAGGCTGAAAAGTTGCCTACACAATGACAACACAGCCCCAGCCTTCCTGCACAAAACAGCAAAAGAAGTTGTGGGTGTCCCATCCCTGCGAGGTTGGACAGCCATCTCTTTTATCGCACAATTCACCCTCGACTTAACAACGGTTCTCTCAACTCCCAAAATATCTCTAGGGTCTTTTTAGAGTGGCCAACAGAAAGGGGGGGGGGGAGCAGTGCAGCAGCTTGGAAACCGAAAGTGCATTCCAGACATGTTTTCAGAGATAGTAACTAGGTGACTGAAGTTTCTGCCTGGCAAATATCTAACTGGAGAGCCTGATTGATGACTCTGGGCTAAATGGACGTGTCTCACTGGAGAATATGAATTATGATTGTTATAATAATCACAAAAAAACAGCCGGAGACACGTGAACAATATAAAAGAGCTTTATTATGAAGCTTTTGCAAAAGGGAATTCTGCCCGTGGACAGAAAACATTTTCCCCAGGAGGGCTGGGGTTTATATACAGGTTCAAATATGCAGCCTCTGCCCCTTTCCTGGGTTCACACTCTATCCAAGCTATGTACCTCCCTACGCCACACCCATATTATTGTAGCGTAACACCTGTTTCCTTGTCCTTGGAAACTACCCTCGTTCTCACGGCCGTGTCTTCCTGTTATGTCCATCGAAGCACAATGGATCATTAACAGGCTTCCGCTGGGTCAGAATGACCTAGAATCTCACATGTATCTGTAAGCCAACATTACAAACCCCTATTCCAGCCAAGAACTTGACATTTTACTTTTAAAACAGAACAAGTTACAAAACAGTACACGTTTACTGTGTATCTCACAAAATAAGCCATGCCCAGCCAGTCACATGACCACCAAGCCACACCCACAAATTAGGCCACGCCCACAGTGTTAAGCCTGGATTCCCCAACGGGTGTTAAGAAAAACAAACTAAACAGAATGTACAGCGAAGTCAGATAGGAAGACAGGTAAATGTGTGAGATAAGTTTTCTAGTTAACACGCAGTAAAAATACAGATACGCTTGTGCTATCAAAAATATAGTTTATTCCATTTAAGAATTATAGCATAGTCAAATGTAACGGTCCATTAGTCATATATCAATTTCAGTCAAGTCTTGTCAGGGATACTCTATTTGCAAAAGTCCGTGTTGAATAGCCAATGTCAGTTCACTTACAATAAATCAGTCCAATCTTTATTTTCTCTCCGTTGAGAAATATCAACACTCCTTTATCTCTCCCCGTTTCAACAAGAACGCAGTCATCAATCCATTCAGTAATTAGTGATCAGTAAGCCAGAGAGAGAGAGAGCTGCAAATGCCTCGCTTCTTATATAGTGCTTTTACAACCACACCCTTAATTACTTTCTTGCAGTTAAAGTTACACACACTTTAACTAACAAACCATGATACCATATTTATTATTTTTACACAAACCAGTTAGGGTAAACCAGTTAGTGGTCCCTGGGATCTAAAATTATGAGTTTGGTGGTCCCTGAGGTCCAAAAGGTTGGTCACCCCCCTGGACTAGAAGACCTCCAAGGTCCCTTCCGCCTCTGTTCTTCTAGGAAAGAGAAAGGACAAAAACTAGCCAGCCACAAACTTTGCGATGCCCAAATATGCATTTCTACGACCGGCGGGGGGGGTCTTTTGCGATAGAAAAGCACTTAGGAATACTCGAAAAATGAAAGTTTATTGGAGCGGGCTTTTTTTGAACCATCTGGTCACAACAAACCCAGGACAAACCTCTTTTTTTTTTAATTCCCAAAGCTGGTTTAGCTGTGGGAGAATATATTTTTTCACAACAATGTCAGCTTCTGTTTGTTGAACGAGTGGCGCCTCCCTTGGCAGCTCTAAAAGGCAAATTTGTTTGCAGTTTTAAGTTAGATTAATTAATTGGTTGATACACATATGATTAACTAATTAAAATGTTCTCTAATCAGCTGACAGCCGGAGAGTAATGTCTCTATTACCTTATCCACGTGGCGCCTTCGTTTCAGGGGGGAACCAGTGAATGAAGGAATTTTAATGGTCTCCAGGTTGGGGGGGGGGGGGGGCTTCCTGCTGGCAACGCTTTCTCTTCCTTTGTTTTTATTTTTATTTTATGTTCAGGCTTGGGAATTGGGGAAATTAAAACGGGGCTGAGGGGAGGAGTAAAAAGGAAAGGAAAGCAGGAATAAAAGGAAAGTGGGGTGCTTTGAACGGGATGGGTCAAAACACAAAGCACCCCTGATTTAATGTTCATTTAATTTAATGGTCTAAGGATGAAGGTGCTTGGCTAGAAACCAGGGGACGGCGAGTTCTAATCCTGCCTTAGGCACGAAAGCCGACTGGATGCCTTTGGACTGGTTCCTCTCTCTCTCTCTCTCGACCCAGCCTCCCTTACAGGGTTGTTGTTAGGGGCCAGACAGGAGGAAGAAGGAGCGTTATTGTATGATCATTGCCTGGAGTTATTTATCAAAACCGCCCAGGTCCCTTCCGTGAGGGAGGTGAGCAGTCTAGAAACATGCAATCCAAATAAATAGCATTAAAGGTGAGATAAGAATAAATAAGAGTTCCTTTGGCGGAACTTGTGAAGCCTTAAGGGAGGAGATCCGGATTATAGACGGTGTGTGTTTCTTCCTCCTTGCACATCCCATTGAACGGGACAGATGTTTGCCGGCTTAGATTTATTTATGCTTATTTATTTATCCATTACATTTATATGCTGCTGAGTCCAGGGCTCAGGCAGCTTATCGCTGCAATGAAACATCCCTGACTAGAAAGAAAGAAACACACACCTACACACACCCGGATGATAAACGTTGAGTGCCATGACAACTCCGCGTCAAATATTAAAAAAATATCCCCCGCAATAAATCTGAACCGAGAGCAAAAAGGCTCCCCGTGATAAAATCCCCATCAAAAATACGAACGCCAAGCAGCGTCTCCTGAGCCCCTCTGGGGTCATTTGGTCTTTCCGGCTTTCTAGGAAGTTTTGCTGGTGGGTCATTGTGGTTGGCTTGTAGTGGGTGGATGCCGTAAATAAAACCAATACGATTTCTGATTAAGAAATGAGACAAGATCGTTTTTATTATCGCTTTTTCTGTGAAGGCAGACAATAGTTCTCCAGGTTGCAAAACAGCTGGGATTCTCCTTCCTTCCTTCCTTCCTTCCTTCCTTCCTTCCTTCCTTCCTTCC